GGGCATGGCAAGTCAGTTGCAAACACAGCACCATATTTTGCGGCGGGGGGTGGAAAAAAGCATCTGTTCACAATGTCAATCAGCCTGACAATATATCAATATATGTGTGTGTGTGTGTGTATATATATATAAATAAAATATATATGTGTGTGTGTATGTGTATAATATGTAGATAAGGTTCCTTGGGTGAATCTGATATCTTTTATTAGACCAACCCAAATAGTTGGAGAATAGTTATTAAGCAAGCTTTCGGGTTCAAAAACCCTTCGTCAGGCTAAGGAAATTATAATATGTATGTATGTATGCACGTGTGTGTGTGTATATATGTAACATGTATGTATGTATGCACGTGTGTGTATATATATGTAACATGTATGTATGCATGCACGTGTGTGTATATGTAACATGTATGTATGCATATGTGTGTATACGTATGTATACACACACGCACGTGTGTATGTGTGTATGTATGTATGTATGTATGTATATGTATATAACTCCTTCCTTCTGTACACTCACAGCAAATGTTCCAGTTACTAGCACTATATTATTGAGGTTTCCTTGAAAGTAGTAATTTCCTTATGATTTAAAAGAGATTTGGTTTCTGAACACGCTCCACCTGCGAATGCATGCAAAACATACATACACCAGGCGCCACTCATTTAGAATGGGTACTCTGGTTCATCTACATATTAAAGTGGGCGTCGAGGCTCTGCGTGGTAAGTAAAGCTGGGGCTAAAAATGCAGTTGGGGTTAAAAGGAGCCTGCAAAAATACATGAAAAGCATGCCGTGTGAAACAACAGATCGTTAGATTGCATGCCAGATACAAGACCGTATAGACTTATCTGCGCATGCATCTCTATCTGTATACGCCACTATCAGTTCTGGTGCTGCCTATGCATCAAATATAAGCTTTTGCATTACACAATCACCCTGGCTTTAGGACAGTCACAAGACAAAAGCCACTCTGCTTTATGACGCACAGGCTGGCAAAGTGCTGCTCAGCCCAGTGAAAGTCTGAAAACTGGGGGCTGAAGAGGCCGCAGCTCAACATGCCGAAGCACTTAGGCTTCAGAACAAGATTGCTTCTCACCGTCAAAGTCTCCCGGCTGCTTTGCAAAGATAATGATGCTGTTTTTGTTCTCCCGCGGTGACAGAACTCTTCCGTTAGGTACCCAAGTCATGCCAGACTCCTCTGGATCCTATTGAACTGCCATATCACGTTGGGCCTGCTCTGCTTATGCATTCGGGGCCGCTTCTAGAGGCAGCGCCAGGCTTCATGTCTAACCTACACCAGATACAGCAAATCGCACAGGCAAAAGCAGGTCAGGTGTTCCCTTAAGGCCCTTGTAAAATTACCATTGACAGGAGTTTGGGCCATCTCAGAAAAAGACAAACTGTTTTCTGTGTGGCTAGTAAGCCTTGGAGTGCAGGTCTGGCCCCAGTGAAGTTAATGGACGGGGTTGAGCTAAGATTTCACTCTGTTTAACCCGTACTCCAAGCACAAATTGGAAAGTAAAAATTAATAGACTATGCATACTATAGTAGATCTGCTTGTCTATAGATGTCGAGTACAGGTGTGTGAGATTTTACAAAATAATACCTGAAGCTTCAAATTCACCCAAGGAACCTTGTCTACTTGAAGCTTTATGCACTTAAATGGAACAAATTTCTCCTAGATATCCATTTAACTCAGAGTGGTTTTTGGTTTGTTTTTTTTCTTTTTTTACTGAAAGTGGAGGAATTATTTATAAAACGAGCCAAATTCAACAGCTGCCCGGCACGGTGAGCACACGAGTCCCAAAATCAAGGCCAAAAATGTAAGTGACTGGACAAGGGCCATGAATGGGAATCGGTATCGGGGCAAGTAACAGAAGTCAAGGCTTCTTGATTCCCATCTTTGAACTTCTAGACTACACTTCTCCCTCTCTCAGCCAGCGTCTCCCAATGGGAATACCTTTTAAAACGTAGCTGCGCGCTTGGTTGAGTTAAAAAACTCCAACGTCAGGCTGCAAAGCTTAAGTGTACTGTCTTTCACTATAAAGGAACAGTAAGTGGTGTATTTAAAAGGCACTTCTGAGATTTCATGGGGATCAAACAATAAGCAAATACATAATTTTCCTGACAGAGACAGGCAAGTCCTCATCATTGATCGTTGTCAGATAAATGACGTGGTGCATGTACTTTTTTTAAATGCATCCCAAGCAATACATGCCGTTCGCATTTGCCAGTTCAAACCTTTGACGGAAGGTCTTGCTTACTGGCTGAAAAGAATAATTAGCAGCTTGGGGTTCATGAAGTCTTGGCTCGTTCTTTCTCCCCTTGCCTCTTTCTTTCCAGGGCCTTCTCTTGCTCTTGGCCTAAACTAGTCCTGGGAAACACAAGGGAAGCCCTGCCCAGCTAGGCTGGTGTCAAAGGCAGGGAAAGATACTGCAGTGCAGTGCTGATCTGTTCTGCAATCGGACGTGCAGGCTAGTCCAAACCCTGAGTCAGCACAATTTCTTTTTTGATTGGTTGATCCGAGTAACATACTTTCAATTTATGCTAAAGTGGCAGCAATTAATACATGTTACCCACCCCCCACAAATCCCCACCTTTCCAAAACCTTGGAATCAAATGCACAAATCGCATCCCCAAAGTCACTCTCTGGTCCTAAATATTCTGAGGCTCTTTCATTTTTAATTTAGGGCATTAAAAAAAAAAAATTGCAATCCAAGCGATGCTCACTTTGATCGACTTGTGCTGCAGCAGCTAAAATATCTGTCCTGCAGGTCAATCTAATCATGCTTAATAGCAGTTTATTCTTCAACGCAACATTTTTCACGTTGGGTCGACAGTTTTAAATGAGATTGCTGATGCACCCCTTTACTAATGCTTTTACCAGGGCCAGCACATGCTTTGAAATACTTGTGCAATAAAATGCTTTATTGCTCTTGATGAATGCACTATTAAACTTGAATTGCAAACAGCCTTTTTTTTTTTTTTTTAAGAAAGGGGGTCCTCATATTTGTTTGGCCACCTGGCTCCACGTATATACAATTATAATGAGAATCACTCGCCGTCAACCTAAACGAACGCACAAAAACTAAGAGCCCATTGGGAAAATTGCAACTCACCAGTCATCCCTGCGCTATCTTGTGCGCGTACAAAACATCCACTTTATACCTGGGGATGGTTTCGCTGACAAGCGGAAAATTCGTCTCGAGAACGGCTGGATTTTGTGAGGCATAGAATAAGAAAATTTAACTAATTTGGTCCACTGGATTTATGGCTTTTACAATTCTCAGAGCTACTGTTTCCGCAACTCGCACTTCGCAATCCCCCAGTTTGGTGTTTGGATGATAGCACCTGAATCTCCCAACCTTTTCCAGCGGTGAACCATGGGAGGGTCTGGAGGAATGAGGCTGATTGTGCTGGAGAAATAGATTGCAAATCACGTTTCTACAGAGAGCAACGTGGAAATAACCTGAATCTTAATTTTGGTTGGTGAGCACTGGGGGCACACAGGGCTGTCACAGTTGTAATTAAAAAAAAAATAAAAAGCTATCAACTAGGCAGGTAAAATCACGCACATTGTTTGCCATAAAAACCTAGAGCCCAATTTGGCTTCTCCCGAAGCCAATGGCGAAAACCACCCCTTGCTTTTGGGTGCGATCTGATCTCTGCTTGCAACGCTTGCATGGGACCAAATGCTTTTTGTTCTCATTCTCCTTGGGGTGTTTTAAGGAGCACAGCGAAGTGCACTGTCGCAAAGAAATGATTGAAGTAACGATGGGATTGTAACGGACTTCAGCAAAGTGGAGATCTAGACCCGGGCCTCTACCAGCACTACAAGAAAAGGCCTCACCGCTGAGCCGCCCTCAAGTCTTTGCTGCTCAGGATAGCATGCTCCCCAATGCCCGCGTCTCCCCTAGCCTCTGTGCCTCTCTCTTGGCTATCCGAGTTATTAACATACCCCAAAGACAGCGCTCAAAATTATAGCTTCCAAAATATTTACATAAAAAATAAATCTGAACACTTAGTTCCTTCCTAACGTTAGTAATTCCATTTGATTAACAAGCATATTAATTCAGAGAAGGGAAAAGTAGATAAAAATTGCATTAGGAATGCAGGTACCTATTGTAAATCAGAGCCAGGTCCCTTAGCAAAAGCACCGCTAAACAGCAGAAGAGTTTCAGTGAAACCTGAGCTGAGAAAAAAGCTTTCACCAAAAAAAAAAAATTTAAAAAAAAATGAAGGCAAATTTTGTTTTATATCCAGGACGGTGAGAATTGTCCTCATTTTCAATTCAGTAGATCAAGCTAATGTCAATGATTTACAATAAGGGGAGCCACAACCAATCCTGTGAACTAGAGTTTTACAGCTCAATCCAAGCTAATTTCAAAACACTAATGCTTTTTTATTTTAACGCAACGTGTTGCCATAAAACTTTTAACATTAAATTGGGACGTATTTTGGGGAAGACGCCACTGCGTCCTTGAAATGACTTCACAGCTTGCTATTTGACCGCTCCTGCCCGCTGCCTTCGCACCGAGTAGACAAGCTACCATCAAGACGTGCCTTGCCTGCTTACCAAATACCCTGGTGCTTATAGGGGGATGGCTGACCTGTCCCCATTCCCGCAATGAGGGATATATCATCCGGGGGGTGGGGGGGGAAAAGGGCATGGTTAAAAGCGCAATGCAGCTTCGGCCCCAGCTGCTGAGACGGTTCAGCTGAGCGTGGCTGAATGTGTCTCGGCAGGTGAAGAGCGTGAGTCACCTCGCCCCCGGCCCCCGGCGGGGAATCTGGCACTCCTGCCAAAGGTCATCCCTTTTGGCAGAAAACCCATGCCGGTTTATTGTGGGGGGCTGCACCTGTCACCGACTCCCAAGAGCCTGACATGAGTGGGATTCTCCTAAAGAGCAAAAAGATCACATGATTTTTTTTTTTAATTTTTTTTTTAAAGGCCATAAGACCACACCCCCCGCAAGAACATATGCTTGTCCCCTAAATGTACCTGGAGCCTCGCACGACAGCTAGGCAACGAGCTCACTTTCACTTTCATTCAGGACAAAGTCTTTCTTTTTCATGCAACTCAGTAAATGGAGAGGTTTTTCCACTCGTCCAAGGCAGATGCTGCTCTACCCCCCGTACGCATTTAAATCAGTGGGAGCCCTTATTTTACAGGAGGGAGGGAATATGCTATTAATACCGACTGAATAATATACACTATCAAAACCTCAGTGATATTTCAGCCGGCCTTTTCTAACCAGTTATTCATGAGCTCCTGCTTCTAGTTAAATCCCTTTTGGCATACATGTAACAAGTGACAACGGTGCTTGCCTTGAATCGAGAAGGATAAGGACTTCTTTTGCAAGATCCAAATCCAGGGTCTCGCTTAACAGCTCCAGGTCATGAGAACAAGCAAAACTGCACTTGACTCCGAAAACCAAAGCTCTCTTAGTAGCTTGCTTAACCCCAGCCATGGGTACCAAGTTGCCTGACTGTCAAACGATACGTTAGCAGCACCTTTGCAATACGAATCAAGTGCGTCGTTACGCTGCCGGGAAAAGATTCGAAAGCTACAGGTTCCAGGTGATTCTGACCTAGCACAAGTTTGGTGGACACCTTTTTTGAATCTTAAAACAAGAATAATAGGGAACACCACTGGTTTAGGTTTTTTCTCTAATTGCAAAGGTTTTGGAAGCATGAGCTGGAAACTTCTGGACAGATAACCGGCTGCTGCCGCCTATATCCAACGTCAAGCATGTCACTGTCTTTTTTCCCCCTGCTCTATACTGAAACTCTTATTTTGGACGACTGGGAAAAGAACCGAACCTATTTTTTAATTTTTTTTTTTTTTTTTGCACAATGCAAAAAAAGCACATTAACACACAAAATACTTCTGAAATTCAAGCATGCACATTTTCAGGGGAAATGTGGAGTCATGCATTCAGGGTTCCCTGGGTTTTAGTTATTTCAGTCATGGGGAGGGTTGTTTCCAGGGCTATCCTCATGACAAATAAGCTTGCCTTTCTGTCTGCTTTTTAAGCATGAAAACTTTTAACACGGGAAAAGTTCAAAAAAGCCTGACTTTGCACATTAATTAAGAGCTAACATGCTGCACAGCCATGACAAAATTGCTCTACATATTCTCTCTCTCTCTCACACTCACTTTCTCTCCTCCCTTGTCTTTCTCTGGGTTTTTTTTTTTTCCTGGCTTTAAATATCAACCCCTATATGCTGTAGCTTTCTAGTCTCCTTTTGGAGGGGGGGGAAAGCACACACGCAAAGAGCCACTGGCCTGTATCCCTGCTAAAAAACAGAAGTGGACAGCAAGCTTTCTTCTGGCATTGCCTTTCAAAGCCCATGCCGCAGTCAGCATATTGAATATTTAATGTCCTGATGAGCATTTCCACCTGCTGACACAGGCAAAGTGACAGAACAATACACGCACTGGAACAAGATCATCAATTGACTCCCCAGTCAGTCTGCCATGTCAGGCATTTAAAAAAAAAATCATCCGTCTGTCTTTCTCCCCTTTTTACACTGGGTCACATACAGATTGCTCCACTGAGAATGATCCCCACCTGAAATACATACTTCTTTACATTCCATAGCTTGCCAGGTTCATATGGGCATATAAAGAAGTATGTCTCTCAAGCAGGTAGTTTCAATATGCGCATTTATATGTTCACAGGAGAAAATAGCGCTGATTCAGAATTCACATCCCAAGAGTGAGTTAATGCTCAGTTTAAAATAGCAGTTTCTTTTTCTTCCAGCTCCAGACACAGAAATGCATGCGCATTCACACCCCCCTCCCCACACACATCACATATATACACACACTGCCCCCCCGCTTCAAACTAATCTCCAGTAATCCATAGCTACTCATCTGCAGGTTTCTGATTTTTGTCACGGGGAACAAAAATGGACAAGACGCCGGACAAAAAGGCAGAGCCACTGAGCAGTTTGCCCCTGACAGTGCCTCGTTTTCACTTAAATGGGATAGGACAAAAATACCTTGGGGTTGCCCTGAAAAGTAGATATTTCATTTGCAATCCAAAACTTTCAATGATTAAAAAATAAATAAATAAAAAAAAACAGATGCAGAATAAATTTTAGTGGAGAGATTTATTTTCTTTTTTCCTATCCAAAGCCGCCAACCACAAGAGGGGGAAAAAAATACCCGAATACTTTGTACTCTGCAATTTAGAAGCAGAGCCAACTTTTGGGGAAATCTTAGGTACATTCCATCCAAAAAACTCACAGGTCCTTCCTTCTCTGAAAGCTTATAAATCACCATCAGGTTCCCCCCTTCCACTCGCTAAGGTTAGAGAACTCATCAGTAACAGACAAAGAATTGCTGTCATCAATTAGTTGGGATTAAAGCATAAGAAGAAGAAATGATCTTACCTAGTGAATCCAAAGATTTTCCTGTGCAGGTCATTGTAAGTGCAATACTACCTTGCAAATGAGAGAGCCCCCAAAAGAAAGGAGATGCCTTTTTGGATGGCTTTTTTTTTTTTAATTTTAAAATGTCATCCAGTAGAAGAACTCCGCAAGAGCCGGGGAGGTTGAGAGACACCTGCAGACACGCAAAATAATAGGCAGAACTGGGTAGTCTCAGCAAGGTGCTTGCAAGGATAGGCCAGAGTGCAATGCTTTTTGAGTTACTCCTTAAGCACCCCCTGCATGCATGCGTGTGTGTGTGTGTGTGCGTGTGTGCGTGTGTGCATGCGCGCGCGTGTGTGTGTGTGTATGCCTTTCTCCTGTTTGCATCAGTCAGTCTCTCTCTCTCTCCCTGTCTCTCTCTCTCTCTTCTCACTCATTGCCTCACCGCCACTCTGAGCTTTAAAGCTCCCCTAACAATGTGGTCCGAGTGGCACTGCTGAAAATGATGATTGTACTGAATAGAAGACTATTATTGGGCAGGATTTAGGCATCAAGCAAACCAGGAGGTCACACGGGGCGCTTAATGCTCATTCAGCATTGCTGTAATGGTATGCTTAGCTTGTCCACTCACCTGCTTCATTTGACTGCTACCCCTAGCCTGAGCCCTGCAGATCAATACCAATTTACAGGCAAATGTAGAATGGCTGCCTTAGTATTAATGAATTTTACCGTTTCTCACAGTCTTCTAATGAACCCTTTAAAGAGAGTTTAAGTAAACTTAGCAAGTGGCAAACTAAGCACTTTGGAATACTTAATTGCATCGATGTTTCCCCCCCACTTCATTTAAAAAAATTACTGCAAACGGGGATGTGAGGATTTCCCTGTTCCCCATCAACTTCCAGGGCCAGCAGAAAGAAAATAAAAGGCCCCACAAACCTTTCTGAAGGTTTGGTAAGGTCCAGCCTGGAAAGCGACTTCACACCAACCATGTCTCACTGCTCAGACGCCTCGGCCCTGGTTTTGTTAGACACCTTCCTTAATACCTTTTGGTTTGCTTGATGTTATCCCTACCCTTGTCCAACTGAAAGGCAATTCCCAAGCGTTGGGGACTAAAAGGAAGAGAGGTGGAGCTGTGACACCACCCGAATGCACGACTGCAGTGAAATTAAGGCAAGACAGAGAAGTGAGGATTTAAATAGGCACATGCCAGGCGTATGAATGAAAGCCTGATTGCTTTAAGTCAAGGGAAATTAGCCAATGTGGGGGATCTCTGCCCAGCCACAGCATTGGGCTGAATGTCTGTGGAGTCCCAAACTTTTGCAGATGAATGAGATGGGGACGGAAGGATAATAATGGAAATATTCGTATACTGGATTTTGACACTGAAGTTTTAAGCCTTTATTAAAAAGGCTTCGGAAAAGAACCCCACTCTTTGAGCATCTATAAAAGTCACAGCAAAGTTTATCCAGGCTCGGTGTGCGGGCACTGCCTGATACCAGGTGCATCTGGGGAGTGTATTTCTTTTTTTGTTAATTCACCTTGGGTGTTTGAACAAAAATCCACGTTTTCCAAAAAAACACCCCTCTGTGACGGTTGGCGGGGCAGAAGGCATGCGGACCTACTGCTCTTTTGGGCAGTTGGTCAGGGCTATTGAGCCTTTCCGCATCCTGGATGATACAAGCAGAAGCTCTGGCTCGGAGCGACAGTTCTGCAACTTTCCCTCACTCACCTAGGCTGGCTAAGCTGCCTGGTGGCACGTTCACAGTGGAAAATCTTGCCTGAGAAACCTGGGGCCAGGGAAGCACAGGAAACTAAGGACAAGAAAATCCTAAATCCTTAGTGCCATTCGATAAACTAGAAGTGCAGAAGCTAAGGAGCAAATGAAAGAGGGGAAGGGGACTGGAGGTAATGGGAGTGAAGGTGCACATGGGGGGGGTCTTGAGGAGGGGGGCAATTGGCACATGTTCCTACTCATTGGGGGCTTCATCCTGCCCCCAAGGCTCCACGCGCTCGCCTAGTCACTTCAACGAAGGCTCTCTGCAGCTGGACAGCTCAAAACTTTTTGGACTTGCAAAGAGTAGTAGGTGCTGGAGAAAGCCAGGGCTTATGTCAGGGTGCAAGAGGTGCAGGGGAGGATGAGCAGGAGGTAAAAGCTTGCGCTAGTTCTGGCCAACCTGCCAGCGCCCTTCCCTGCATACGGCGGTTTGTATCAAGTCAGGTTGGGTAAGAAAATGAAAATTTGAGGAATAGACAAAATCACCCATTCAGGAGACACCCAGCAATTAAAATGACAGCACAAATAATAGATTTCTGACTGTACAATTACACGATTGCTGAGCATACACTCTAACAGGCACATACATCTATTCATACACTATGCACACACTATATGCTATGTACTGTATTCAGATAATATATATCTGTTGGCATATAATGGGTATGTATCTGTATAAAGAGATGTAAACCGTCGAGCTATATTCTATAAAGCACACCTATGTTCTGTGTGTGTGAATATAGATTTCACAAGATCTCTCACAATCTATATACATGTACTACCGGTGTGTGAATGTCTCTGATACACCACTCCAATGCAAAATGCAATGACCAGAGCTAACTACTGGCTTCAGAAGCAATCATAATCAAAGGATGTGTGAAGTGTAACCTTCCTTTCCAAATCCTTGCAGTGAAAACCTAACTTCTCATCCTATGGCTATTCCTTTTGCATTGTCCATAAACATCGTGCCTGTAATTAATGCTCTCTTCTAGGCTTTTCAATGGTTAATCACCGCAGCGTTGAGATCATTGCAAGTTAGGCTAAGTTAAAACCCCATTTCAGCCTTTGCTCTGGGTGGTATTATTTCAGCTCAGAGCCACCGGTTATTTAAAAAAAATAAATAAAAAAATCCCCTTAGGTGTCATTTAGCCCAGCTCAGAATTAGGCATTGAGAGGAAGGGTTTAACCTTGCAACGTGATTGCATGTCAAAGTTCTAACATTTCAGTTCAGCTTATTCTAGTCCACTGCTTGCTCTGCAGTTTTTTTTTTCCCTTTAAAAATGCGGAGTGTGCCACAGCAGAACAACAACAACACCACCACAAAAAGGGTCTCGTAACCCACCCACATATTATCACACCCGCCCTGTGCACACGCACACACACACGCACGCATTCACCAAACGCAGAGCCACCCCTGTCAGTCCACGGGCAAGTTGGATGGGCACCGAGTCCTACGTTAGCCAGCAAAGTGTTTAAAAACAAGCCGAGCTGGTGCAGTTAAAGGAAAGGCAGATCGTAGAGAGGGGAGGGTTTGGGGGGTGGAAAAAAGACATACCAGTTAGAAGATTCTCTTGCAGCAGTGGAGTCACCAGAGCACTAGCTGAAAGCTGAATCAGCTTTCAAGAGTTAGGGATGCATAGAGGAGGGTCATGGAATCACAAGGTAATAATGCGCTTCATGCTGCAGCCGTCAGCCTTCTCCTTAGAGCCAATCTCTAATGCAGGAAGGGAAAAAGAGAGCAGGCCCAGTAATGGTATTAGTCCTCACTTGGAGAGAGAGAGAGAGAGAAAAGATCAGGCAACCCCCTGCACCCCCCCCCACCCCCCAACAAGCACCACTACAACTCAATCCCTCCTGCTGCATCGCAAGCTTAGTGGTGGAGGGGAGGTGGGGAGGGAAGGGAGGGAGAGCTAGAAAGCTTACAGCTGAGGCTGAGAGAGAGAGAGAGAGAGCACTGAAGAGCACAGGCAGAATAGGAGGGTGAAGCAGGAGTTAAGGAGAGGCAACCTTCTGTGCTCAGATTGCCGCACACCTTGATGCATAAGAGCTGTGTCTGCAGAAGTCTCCCATCTCCCGCCCTTCCTCTCTTCTCTCCCCCTATAACCCCTCCCCAAAGGGTCAGCCTGAGGTAGAGGTCAGGATGCAACAAAGAGCACGCACACATGCACGCACGCACACACAAAAAAGGGGGGCTGCACTGGGAAAGGGGTGGGGGGGGGGAACCTCTGATCAGGAAACGAGTCCACCTTTCCAGTGCTTATATACCCAGCTAAGCATCTGAAACACGCGCTCCCAGGCAAGTGGCCCCTTTTCATGCCATTCCCTCCCTGACCATATTTAGTCAACCATGGCAAAAAATAGCCTGTCAGCTGGAGACTGCCGAGCAGGGAGTATTTGGAGTTCAATCGCTCCTCTCAGCCCATTGACTACTAGTCCTGCAGGGTCCTGACTCTGCCTTTTTTTTTTTTTTCTTTTTTCACCCTGGGCTATTTTTAGCTAGGCCAAATAAAGAGGCATCTCATCTTACCACTCTCTGCCCGTCCCAAGGTTTCACCAGGCCTCGACTATGTATGGTAAGTGCTGTCGTGGAGCGACACCGAGACACAGACCACGTCCATTCCTGAAGACCTTTGTCTCCCCTCATTTTTCCCCCTTTCTTCCTTTTAGTTCCTTTCCTTCCTCCCTGGTAGGAAGGTATCCGGAAGAGGAGGTGGGGAAAAAGAAGTTGAAAGGCTATTGATTTTTACCTTAAAGAGAGAAGAGCCATGATTCAAATGCACCACATTAAGACAGTCTCCCTAGCCGTGAAATCCTGGGCACTTAACCGGCTGGCCAAGTCTTTCCTCATTCTGTATCTTTAAAAGCTGCCAGCTGACAGGGAGCGTGCTGTATCTGCTCCTCTTGCTGGCGAGTGTACGTCTAGCTAGAAGCCATGAAAATCCCTGCTCTCACGAGTTCCCTGGTAGTGCACACGCACAACTCGTAGG